GGCGTCATATTTTAAAAAGAAGATAACATGTAAACAAATCTAGCCAATCAGAAACCTGGGGTAAATTAGTAAAAACGAATTTGGGCAGAAAATCATCGGATGAAAGTCACAAGATCTCTTTTAGTTAAATATATTTGAGTCTTTTTACAACGCTGATGTTGAGTGTGTCGACATTATAATATAAAATTATCCGTAGAAGTATTAAATGTAAAAATATATACACCGATCATGCCGAAATCACAGGTGTCCCAGAATTTATGAAAACAGCTGTAAAAAATAATTACCCATAAGAGACGTGTTATCGAAACAAACGTATAATACGTCATCAGATTTTTTTTAGGGCAGCTCGATATAAACAAAAAATCGCGATGCACATCGTTAAAAAATGCTTTCATTTCCCAGCGTATCTCGGCCTTTTTCAGGGTTCCGTTTTTTATTAAAGTCTCAGAGGCTTCGCCTTTCGTCAGGGGTTTCGCCTTTCACTAGAGGTTCCGCCTTTCACCGGGGGTTTCACCTTTCGTCAGGTGTTTCGCCTCTCGCCAGGGGACTTGTCTTTCACCAGGGTTTCGCCATTTCACCAGGGGGTTTCGTTTTTCGTCCTTTGCATAAAATGGTTTCACCTAACGACTATACAAAATATTATATTCCAAAACCGGGTGAAGTGTTGGATTTTCTTAATAGGCATTATCAGTTTCCTAGAAAAACTAGTAATGACAATATATTGAAAATTAAATGTCCAAAGTGTCGTCCAAAAAAATCAAATTTTTTTTCCATAGATATTAATGTGAATGATGGTACATATCGATGTAATGAATGTATGATGAAAGGAACTTGGAAAGATTATATGCAATTGATATCCAAAACTAGCACTTTTCAAGTCATTAATTCAACACAAATGGGAATAGGTTGTCCATCCTATTTGTCAAGTTTTGAAGAAATAGATCAGTATTCAAATGAATTGCAAAATTACCCTAAAGTTATTGAAAAGTTTAAATTATAAATATATATATATTTTTTTTTAATATTAAGGTGATCACTTTGGGGTCTGGCATGATTTATT